TGCAGAGGGACAATAGGGTTGAGGTCTATTATTTCTCACCTCTATATATTTATTTAAAAACAAGTTTGCTGTTATCTCTGGAGACACAAATCCGCAGTTTGATAACTGCAAAACTAAGCATCTCTTATGGTATCTTCTAGACTGAGCACTGAGTCCCATTGGGTAGATAGAAAGATGAACCTAAATAATCTATACAGAAGCCCCTGGAACCCCTTAAGATTGGGTCCCTAATCCATGAACTGTTGGAACTCATTTACAAAACTTTTCTTAAACATTACATGAATATATTGTCTCATACTATAGAATTAGAATTTATAATCCCTATTCCATGATGAGATATCTTTGAGCTATAATGTATCTTAATTAAAACTCTCTTTAGATAGGTTTTTTTCCTCAAAAAGCATTTTATCAAAAATCTGATTTAAATAAACTTTTTTTTATTTCAATTTTTTAAAAAAATCATTGATTTTTATCCATCCTGTTGGGCATCTTTTAAGTAGGGACTTCATCATAATTCAACTCTGAAAATATTGAAATTGGAATGATTATACTGAGGTGGAAACTTGAGAGCTAAAATTTGGCCTGACTTATACCTCAGACAAATGCATTAATTTTAAATGCTGTAGCACAGACGATGAGGCAAGGCAGAATTTGACCCCTGGTAACTCTTGGCCTGATTAGTGAAGCATTTCCCTGTAAACTCTCAAGTCACCTGGTGATGTTCAGTCTAACATTCCAAATGAAATGTTGGATGCTCTTGTTTCTCCACTGAGCAGTATCCTCTGTAAAATCCTGTTGGGCACTCACTCCCAACAGTGGCCAGTGAGCTAGCACAGAGACTAGATTGCTTACCAAAAAAAGAGCTTGAGCTTTTAAGGATAGCAATGTTTGCTTTGTGGTTGTGAGTTTATAAACTCTGTTCCTTTGATTTCATATTGTGGTTCTTCAGTCAGAAGACACACTTGACTCACGCTGTGCGCCTACCCGGTAATACCCTTGCAGGGTCCCAGAGCCCAGGCTCCAGTTGGAGCCTGAACATCTGCACTGCAATTAAACAGCTCCATAGCCTGAGCCCCACAAATCAGTCAGCAGTCACAGGCTAGCCATGGGTGTTTAATTACAGTGTAGACATACTGTAGGACAGGGGTGGTCAATTAATTTTTGTCAAGGTCCAAATTTCTTAGTCAAGGCAGTCAGGGTCCAGACTCCAGAGAGGAAATAAATAAATCCCTTCCCTCTTCTCCCCCCCCCGAATAATAAGTAAATAGATTTCATGGTCTGCTCAAAAAAGTCTGGTAGTCTGGAGTTGGCCTGCAGTCCACCTATTGACTACCCCTGCCCTATGAGGTCAATGACCTCTCTGAGATTGAGTGGTTTATGCATAGCTCAAAAAAACCCCAAACTAGCTGTTGCATAGCGATGCCTAATGTCTTCTACCTTTTAGTTGTTGGATGAACTGAGTCCTATTTAGCACAGAGCTGCTTGGTGCAGCAGCTGTCTGGCTGCTATGTTGCCATAGGTAGAAAGCATATAATACAAGCTGAAGATGGATTTAGCGCAGGACTGTAAAAATACAACATTGCTATAATCTTAGATTCCCTTTCCATTTTTGCTTAAAGATTCTATCCTGCTTTTTTTCTGATCAGACTCTCTAAATGTTGCATATAATAGTAAAATCTGAACTTTAGTTTTCCCCCTTGAAAGACTTAATATTCTCAAGACTTTATTTAGAAAGTTGCAACATTTTGTTCTCAAAAGCATATATGTGCACCAGATAACGTCGTTTACGAGCATACTATCAAATTGCCCACATATAAGAATTTTCAATATGGAACAACAAATTTTTAGAAGAACTTAATTGTGGTCTCTTTGGTCTTGCAATTGCAGCTTAATTTTAGAAGGAAGCTGAGACATAACTTACTGTAAGTAAACAAGTGCACAATGTGACAGAGGTATTGTATGAGCAAATGACATTATGCTGAAACTTGTCCTTTGAATCTTTTGTGATGTGGCAATAATGACCTACAAAATGGCTGGCAGTGCTACAGTACTGTCGTATTTGGAACTGCAAAGTCTCTTGATTTGCTTTTTGTCTTGGGTTTTTGCAACCCAACAAACTCATTGATGTAGCTTTGCAGACTTGTTCAAACAAGTAACTGGTTTAGCTTTCTGCACTGATTCAAGTGTTGGGATTTTTGTTGAGGGAGGAGGGATGGGATTTTTTAAAAAAGCAATATTTAAATTGCCATATTTCTGCATAGGAATGCATTTTAGGCTCAAAATCTACTGTTCCTGTAATGGAATACTTGCAGATGATGATGGTAATGCAAAATGTTCATCTGCCTTGTATCTGTCTTCAGAATGATCAGTCAACTTTATATAAACATAGGTTTTTGAAGTAGTGGTATCCTTCCCTGCAGGGATACATTCCGTGTCCTTGATTCAAAGAAACAATGTGCGAGATACTTTTGTATGTGAGCTGCAGAAAGTTACAAGCTTTTTGGGGGGAGGCTGCGGGATAAGGTGGGATTTATACTTGAAGTTGGAATCTTTATCTAGAGAACACCTATTAAAACCACAATGTAGTAAGACTACCTAAAAGGAATACTTCTCTGCGTTGCACTTAGCCACCATAGTGATGGGTAGGGATGGCTAACTCTTGGTCACCTGTTAATATAGGGTTGTCGGGGATTTGCCGTCAACTCCCCGCGTCAGTCTACTTATCTGGGAAATGCACATTCTCTATCCCTGTTTCTTCTGTTCAAGAAGTAAAACAATACTTGCAACACCCCAAAATATCCTTCTCAGCCAGTAAGATCCTTTGAACTACAGCTCTGAGAGTCTAGCAAACATTGGTCATTATCTTATGCTCTGCAGTTTCTCATTGGAGTCTGTTTTTGAAGTTTTTTTTGTTGAAGAATTGCCACTTTTAAGTCTGTTGTTGAGTGTCCAGGGAGATCGAAGTGTTCTCCTACTGGTTTTTGAATGTTATAATTCTTGATGTCCGATTTGTGATCATTTATTCTTTTGTGTAGAGACTGTCCGGTTTTGCCCATATACATGGCAGCGGGGCATTGCTGGCACATGATGGCATATATCACGTTGGTAGATATTCTTCAACAAAAAAACTTCAAAAACAGACTCCAGTGAGAAACTGCAGAACTGTAATTAATTTGCAAACTGGACACCATCAAATTAGGTCTGAATAAAGACTGAGTGGATGAGTCACTACAAAAACTAATTCCCCCCTGCTGATACTCACACCTTCTTGTCAGCTGTTTGAAATGGTCACCTGGATTACATTGAACTCATTAGCACTACAGAAGTGAATTTCCTCCCTTCCTGTCAACTGTTGACAATAGCCCACTTCCACCTTAATTGAATTGTCTCCTTAGCACTGCCCCCCCACTTGGTAAGGCAACTCCCATCTTTTCATATGCTGTGTATTTATACCTCTCTACTGTATTTTCCACTCCAAGCATCTGATGAAGTGGGATTTAGCCCATGAAAGCTTATGCCCAAATAAAGGTAGTTAAGGTGATATATTTTATTGGACCACTTCTGTTGGTGAGAGAGACAAGCTTTTGAGCTGACACAGAGCTCTTTAGGCCTTCAAAGGGGTGTGTTGACCTGAAGAAGAGCTCTGCAAGCTGGAGAGCTTGTCTCTGACCAACAGAAGTTAGTCCAATAAAAGATTTTATCTTCACCATCTTGTCTCACTTAATAGCCTTAATGTTTACATTATTTGTTTGAAAATGGTGGATGAACTTATTTACTAGCTTAATATTTCTACTTGTGATGGAAATTAAAATTCAGTTATGCACAAAAACAGCACTTTAAAATCTTTTATTAAATAAAATGACATTCAATATGCTTGATACATAGGAAAGAAAAGTTTACCAAAACACACCTTTTTTTAAATTTCAAACTAAGGAAGCATATGTAGTTAAGCTCACTAACTGACTTTGTTTCTGGTCACCATGTCATTGATTTTTAGAACTAGTAGATCTCATCGTCTTATGCCTAGTTTTTATTCATATATTGGAGAGAAAAAGCAGAAAAAACTGTTTTAAAACTCCCAATTGATTTCTTAACTTTGAATCAGCAAGTCATTGAATTGAACTAGCTGAATGCGTGAAAAGAAAAAAAATGATTCTGTGCACCTGCAGAAGAGGCTATTGGAGTCAAAAGTTGACTTAGTACCTCAAATTCTGGTTCCACATGTTTAGCCAGTGACTTTCACCAGTTCAGTCACTTGACTTTCTTTTAAAACTTGGCAGTCAACATGTACTGCTTAGTATTTTAATTTTTTTGCTGGTCACTAATCTGTTATAGTAAGTTTAGGCCTTAGGTTGTCAAAACTTAAATCTATTTAAAATTTTGATTAAAAAAAATCTGTACTTTTAAAAAATTAATCTTTTTAACCACCCTGTTAGGTGGTGGTGTAAGCAGTCGTTAAAACATGAAACTGCCTGTGAGATCTGAGCTGCAGAGCAGTCCATAGTGCATCATCCTAGAGAAAGAAAGGATCTTTTTTTTTTAAGAGTCATCCTGCATATACTGTGCTTGGCCAGTTGATCGGGGTCTGCAACTCTCTTAGAGGAGACAGGAAGAAGAAAATAGCATTTAGCAGGCAGGTGTCTATGGCTCCTATTTTCATGCTGTAGAAGAGTATGTGTAATCCCTACATAGCAATTGCTGCTTCTGTAGCATTTCATATAGTATACTCCAGATGTTTGGTCTCATTAACACTACTGCAAGCCATGTACAGAACAAGATATGCACCGTGCTAAGATAAAACCCACATAAAGTGTACCGAGAAAGAAAGTTAATTGGCTTACAAAGTACAGAGAGTTGAGAAACATGACATGAAGTTATCTCTTCTGGACTGCACTTGCTCATTTGCTATTGGGCACTTGTCACTGAATTACAGAAGACCGTACCCTTTATCTCGCTAGTGAGTATAGGGTTATAATGTTTGATCTTTCCTGTGTGTACAGACCATGGAGCTAAAGTGGCTGCTGTGTGTGACATTGCTGATACTTGGATTAGTTGATGTCCAGACTCATGATGTGGAAGAAGACCATGGTGATGATGTAATTGATATTGAGGATGACTTGGAAGATGGTGTTGAGGAGGTAGAAGAGACAAAGCCTGAAGCCAGCAGCCCTCCTCCATCCCCAAAGGTTTGACTTAAATTTACAATGATAAAACAGAATTACACTTGGGTAGTCTGGTTATTGTAACCTGTCCCATCTTGGTCTGATCTGGAGACTATCTTGAGCATAAAAACTCAATATGCCAACAGAGTAACTGCATTCATTTTAAAGAAGCATTGCTATGAAACTTGAGCTGCATTTCTTCCATAGGAAAATTTCTTTAAGGGCATTTGAATCTTGTGATGTGATTCCAGGATTTAACAGTACTAGTACTCTTAGACTTTGGTATTTTTATCTTCAAAATAAAATTATAACTTTCAAGCAATGGCATCAGATTTTGGGGAGTGTAAATAACTTAAGATGTTTCAAGCAGAAAACTTGTCTGAGTCAGGAAAAGTGGGATGAACGCAAAGCCTTGTAGTTTCCTAGGGCAGCAAAGTTGATTAAAGGTCTGTGTAAACTTTTTTTCTCCTACTCCAATAGGTTACCTATAAGCCCCCAGTACCAACAGGAGAGGTTTATTTTGTGGAAAATTTTGATAAGGGAACCCTGGAAGGGTAAGTGAAATCTTCAAGATGATTTAATGTAAATGACTTAGTCAGTTTGGACCTTCAATAAGGTGTAATGAAATACAGCTTTTCTAGAGCACCCGTTCTTGAATAGCTAATGTTCATATGACTAGAGTTCAAATGACCCCATATATAACCACCTTACTATACATTTCTCTTAACCTTCATATCTCTTGAAACCTTGGAGGATGTTCAAATAAGCATTTGTTAGGTGCCCATTAAGAGGGGGAATGTACCATGTGCACATACAGAATCACGTAAGCTGGCTTTCAGTAGCCTCTCTTGGTAATATGACAAGATGGAGATAATGGCACTACAAGCACTATCCCTAGTGGAGTACTGATAATAGGATCACTGGTACAAAGCTGCTTTGATGCCTTCTTCTGAATTTGCTCCATGTGTTGGAGAACTTAGCGCAGAACTCCCAAAGAGACTGATCAATGATGGGGTTCAGAATACAGTAGGGTCTAGTTAAAGGGTAGCCCTCGCAGTGTCTGAGTGTTTCTTTAGAGCTGGCTTTGTATAACAGTCTGTAACTGTGTGGCTGTCCCTTACCGCTGCTGGGGATATCATTTCAGATGGGTTCTTTCCAAGGCCAAGAAGGATGACACAGATGATGAAATTGCAAAATATGATGGTGAGTGCCATCTAGCTTTTGTTCAGAAGGTGTGTGTGTGTGTGTGTGTGTGTGTGTGTATATATATTTATATATTTATATATTTTTTGGTTGTCTGTACTGCAGAGCTAGTCTTGAGGTGCAGATATTACCCTTACTAAACACTCATGAGAATATCCTACATATGAAAAGTGGGTGGGCATTTGGGTGTTGTTTTTAGCTACTGATGTCCAGTGAGCTGTGGCTTTTGCAGCAAGTCCTCCTGAGTGTTGAAATGTGTTCCGTTCCTAATTAATTCAAATTTCATCTTTTGAAGGCTAGTCTGTACACCAATTTCTAACTTGAGTAATATAACTGAATGTGACTTCTGGAAATGCTGTTATAACCCATATTGCATAGAATAACAATTTAGTTTCTTGTTAAAGTTCATTAAAATAAGGAAAAAGGAATTGTGGGTTCTAATAGTAATGAAATGGTGTATGTTCCTTGCAGGTAAATGGGAAGTGGAGGAAATGAAGGACACTAAACTTCCAGGGGACAAAGGACTTGTACTGATTTCCCGGGCCAAGCATCATGCGATCTCTGCCAAACTGACAAAACCCTTCATATTTAATACCAAACCCCTCATTGTACAGTAAGTGGAAAATAACAAGTGTTTACTGCACCAGAAAGGGCAGGTGGCTGTTAGCGGCTTGTTCCAGAATTACAGAGTTTGGTTGGCCAAACAGTAGTAAAGCATGGTAGCCCATTACCACTCAGAATATTGGCTACCACTCTTGCATGCAAATGCATAAATAAAGGGGTATTGTAGTGTACAATAACTTTCCGTTTCAAGTTCTTGGAGATGCTGCTTTTTCCATCTGAATAAACTAGCTGTGTCTGAATTTCTGGAAATTAGCCTTTCCTTGCAGTGTGACACTGACAGCTACAGTTGTTTCCACTTCTATGCTACAGCTGTAATAGCAGGGGCCTAGTGAACTGACTTGTCTGTTGCGATTGATAGGAGGAGTAAAACACTTAGCAGGGGCTATGTAAAGACAATTCATGAGTGAATAGATTTTTTTCCAGCAAATTGTCCTTTCTTTCTCTTTCCCTGGTAGCAAGGCAAACCCAGCTTGTTAGTGGTCTTCAACTGATGCAGCTCTTTTGCCATGGGACACACAAAGCTTGTCCAATTTAGCAAGAATTGTTAGATTGGTCATGGCAGATCTACAAGAATCCAGACTTTATTGGGAGTAGCTGATCTGTGGGACTTTTCCAGCAAGAAAGGAGGGCAATCAGCTCATCAGTTTGCATGAGATAAGGAGTTAATCATTCTGCCTGTTGCCTAGCTGTTTACTTTGTGGTTCTTATGTATCTGCCTAAGATCCATTATGAAATGTGGGAAACACTAATTTAAAAAACCTTTCTAATTTGTATGGAAGCTCTGTTACATCCTTCTATGAAGGGAAATGTTGTCTAGTTCATTCCATGTACTATAATGTGCCCTCTACTTCTCTGCCCAAAATGAAAATTAGGTATGAAGTGAATTTCCAAAATGGGATTGAGTGTGGCGGGGCCTATGTGAAGCTGCTTTCTAAAACCGCAGAGCTGAACCTGGTGAGTGGTGTGCATGGTGTTTAGTTACTACCCCCCAAAGACAAGCCTGTCTTTCTCTCGCTCCTCCCCAAAGAAACTCTTATGATCCTAATGGCCTGAAGGCAGTTGTTTGTGTTTAGGGGCAGACTTGCAAAAGTAGTCTGCACCCAGAAGCTTGCATTGTCCTTAGTGGGAGCAGATGGATGCTGAATTCTTCTGAAAATCTGGTTACTGCAATTGACTCTGGGATGCTGTAGGTGCTGAGCATTCCTGCCCCTCCCCCATAAGAATCCACAACATTCTTTTTAACTGCCACACACTTTTGGGATGTCTTTCTTTCCTCTCCCTCTTACTATAAGAGTAGCAATCTCATATGGGAGGTCTGTAGAGGGCACACTAAATCGTGTATCTTGTACATTTCCCTTTAGCTGTTTCACAATTAAACTGTACTCTTTATACGGAGGGAAGTTGACTGACTGGGATTAGACAGTTGTCTTCTAAAGTGAGTTCCAGAGAGGGTCTGCAAAGGGAAATAGATTAAGATGATCCTAATCGTATTTCTCTACACCAGACTTCTTACATTCCAATCCGCTTGTAAGGAGCGTGGTGTCTGAAGTACTAGAGCAGGGGTAGGCAACCTATGGCACGTGTGCCGAAGGCGGCATGCGAGCTGATTTTTCAGTGGCACTCTCACTGCCCGGGTCCTGGCCACCAGTCCAGGGGGCGCTGCATTTTAATTTAATTTTAAAGAAAGCTTCTTAAATATTTTAAAAACCTTATTTACTTTACATACAACAATAGTTTAGTTATATATTATAGACTTATAGAAAGAGACCTTCCAAAAACGTTAATGTATTATTGGCACGCGAAACCTTAAATCAGAGTGAATAAATTAAGACTCTGCACTCCACTTCTGAAAGGTTGCCAACCCCTGTACTAGAGACTTGCCGCTTGTAGGATGCACTAGCAGGATGTACTATGTGCAGTAAATGTCTTGGACTAAACACATCTTGTTCCTGGCCCATGGACCACTATTCCAGCAGCATTATCTGAAAGATAAAATTGAGAGGATTTTGTGTACAGCAGCTACTGGATATTTTTAATCAAAGCCCTCCAGTTTTCTGTAGGCTTCCCCTCATGGAAGTAGAAGTCAAAACTGTTGTCCCGACTCTCCTTCCCCTTCACTGTTTTGTCAGAATCTTTCTTGATACAGATCCACATCTGACCAGGATATGCCATTCAAGATGTGAAAGGCCACTTAATGATTGTGCAATCACTTCTTCAATTCTTTGTGAACTGAATGCGTGAATAGGGTCAGTGAGAGTAGACAAGCTTGTTTGCAATGATTTTTGTTAAAGGGATGGCGTTAACAGACGTCTAGTTAATTCTTACAGCTTCATATAATACATCAGCCCTGTGCTTGGTACTAAGTTTTGTGGTTTTTCAGCTGAGTTTACTCTGTTAATGCCTCTTATGTTCCCTGTTGTGAGAGAGAACTACCCAGACTGGGAAACTGAGAGACTGACTAGACACAGCAATGTCAAAGGCACAGTAAAGATTTCAGTTTCTTTCAGTGCTGATAATGGCTGTTGACAATAGTTCTGTTTTAAAAACAAAACTTTTGCATTGTGGGGTTTCTGTGACTTAGATTAGCTAGACATCAATTTAAAAAATTCCAACAGGTTATTTTACATTTGCACAACTTTATGGCTTGATGCTTTTAATCTTGCCTGTCACTCTTGAAAACTGCCTTCTATTAATTAGGGAAAAGTAAAGACAGTTGGACAGGATGATGGAAAATGCAGGGCCCAGCTAAGCACCAGTAGGGAGATGGATTGGATTGTCCTAACTGGCCTCTTCCACTTCAAATTTCTGTGACTGTATCAACCATCTGTTGCTGGTTTTGATCTCAAGTATAGTCAAGCAGCTTAATGAGTGAAGTGCATTTGCGGTGAACACCGTGTTGTCTAAACTTGAACTCTAGAATGATTTATTCCAACTGTTCTCTTTAAAGGATCAGTTTCATGACAAAACTGCCTACACAATCATGTTTGGTCCTGATAAATGTGGAGAAGATTATAAATTACACTTCATCTTTCGGCACAAGAACCCCAAAACCGGCAAATATGAAGAGAAGCATGCAAAGCGTCCAGATGCAGATCTGAAGACCTACTTTACTGATAAGAAGACCCACCTCTATACTCTGGGTAATGCAACCATAAACTTGGGGGAGGGGAGTGTTTTAAAAAAAAAAAAAACGTCAGATCTCAAAAAGTTTGAGGGTGAACATTTATTTTGTGTTTTTGGTGCAAGAGAAATGGAAAGGAGTCCTAAAACAGTAACTGAATATACTATGTATGTGGACATCATACAACTAAAACATCCATTCTCAATCCTCATATGCAAAAATTGTTTGTTCTTCTGTTCTTCCGTGCAAGAAATCTCATCAAGGAGCATGCACTGCTTTGAATCTTAACTCTTGCAGGGAAAATATGGGACTCTGAACTTGGTAGATAAAGGAGAATTGGCTTTCCAAATATGGTCTTAAATACTATAAGTTAAGGTATAATAGTATGCATTCCGTTACTGACTTGGGATCTCACGTGCTCTCTAGTTGCGTGCATAGCTATCCGTTCTGTAGCTTTTGGGGACACTAGGCTGTAAACTCCGGAGGAAATAGCAATGCTGCATCTACCTGGGACTAAGTGTTAGAAGCCCTCCTTTCAGGAAGCTGTTTCAATATGTTATTTTAATTGGCTTTCATTTTCACTGGCTGTTCCATTGAGGTTTTCAGAGCTGAAAAAGTCAGATAAGGAAAATGCATTGGAGAGTGAAGGCCGGTCACACCCATGGTTAAAATAGTGATAGGAGCATAAGAATTGCCACACTATATAAGATCAGTGGTTGTGGTACAATATTCTGTCTACAGCTGGGGCTATCATCAGAAGCCCCAGAGAAATGTTCAAGGAGCCCTGCAGTAGGAATAACTTACCTTATAGGAACAGTCTCTTCCTAACACCTATCTGTTGAAGGCTGGCTTATGCCCTTAACTATGAAGGAGTTACTCCTTTCAGAACACTTGGTTTAGTTCTTAGTCCTGTTATCCTAATTCTGAATGTTCTTATTGGCCATATGAATATTGAATCCTGCTAAGATCTTACACCCTTGCTTGGGCCTACACTCTGCTAGGCAGCTGTCGGCTTTGGAGCGCTGACTTCTACAACTGCACAGCCAGATCTTCTTTAGAATCCGCTTTTCTAGATATTTTGCTGCTAGAGAGGGGACTTACCCATAATCTGTATGCGGCTAGTAATGAAACAAGGCTCCTGACTGCATGAATGAAAGCAGTATAGAAACACTGAGCTGCTGTCTCACTGGTTTCAAGATTAAACACTGAGTTTTGTTTTTCTGCGTTTCTTCTTTGTGCAGAATAGAACGTGGAGCTGTGCTCCGAGGCTGACTAACTGAAGGGGGAGCTTTCTAAGCAGTGTAGGCAGGTGTGGGATCTAGTCTTAAAAGTGACTTAAAAAAAAAAGTCATAGTGGGGTCCAGTGTTTTGTGGTCTCCATTATTTCTTTATCAAATGTGATGGATATATGTATAAAAAGGACACTCTAATTGCTGGTCCAGATTGAAACTGGGTTTGTCTAACTTCATGCCTCATTGCCAGTAATAAAGATATCCTTGGTGAACTTATCAAACCTCCTCCACCCTCTCCCATTGACAGTTGGGAACTTGTTAAACAGTTCTGTTGATGGATGGGGCAGAATAGAATCCACAATTCTGCTAGTTTTACATGTGATGACTCTGCAAGGCTAAAAGGAGTGTAAAGCTTTTTAATTTCACAAAAGGCCAGAGATGGGGCCATGAATTTATACAGAGCAGATCCATTAAGGGTGGTGCAGGTTTTTTCCAGTTACTTTTCAAGTAAATAAGGAATTACAGTTTTCAGTCTTTAAAGTTCCTGCCCTTTCTGTTAAGAAAATAGAAGTGGCAAAGCCTGATTATCTTTTTTTTTTTTTTTTTTTTTGTGGTGGGGGGAGAACCTGATAAATCGCACTATACTAGGTTCTTCTCTTTATAAGTAGGGTAACAGGTGTGAGTGTGTATAGAGCAGAACTTTTTCCAGATGTAATTGATTTGAGGGGGCTACGTAATACTCAAGCCTATTTGGTATCCAGAGTAAGACTCTCCATAAAAATCTTTGTCTTTATTCCTCGACACAAGACTAAAGAGGTTATTTGTTTATCTTTGGCAGCCCCATTTGGGCATCATTGTTTACTGTGGAGGTAACTTCAGCTAGAAGGATGATTGTTATAGTTTTGAGGTTTGGAAAAGGACGGTAGAGTAGAAAGTGGCAATGAGATTCTACAGAGCTCAATTTTCTCCTTATGTTAGCCAAAAAGGCTCCATTAACTCTCTTCCTCCCTGTCCCTATTCGTCCAGTCTTGAATCCTGATAATAGTTTTGAAGTCCTGGTTGATCAGACTGTGGTGAATAGTGGGAATCTCTTAAATGATGTGACTCCTGCTGTGAATCCACCCCGAGAGATTGAGGACCCAGATGACCAGAAACCAGAGGACTGGGATGAGAGACCCAAGATCCCAGACCCAGATGCTGTTAAACCAGAAGATTGGTGAGTAGCTTGGGTGGTGGAATTGGGGAAAGCTGTTGCTAGATAACCAAGTGCTGGTCTAAAACAGTTCTTAGCTGGTCATTTGTCCATTTTATTTTTATTTTTTATTTTGTAGTCCCCTGTACTCAAGTTAACTGGCTAATGTTGGCCAGTCTAACATTGGACATGCAGTCATGTGTGTCTTAAGCTATTTATCTGTTTAAACTATAGCTAAGCTTGGCAGAACTCAATGTTTATCTTTTATAATTTGGACGAATGATTTTTTAAAAAAAAATTATTTCAATTTTCACAATTTGTGGAAATTATGGGGGTCAGACAATTATTTAATGAGTAGACATTGAGATTCAAAAAGTTAATGCTTTAACTGTTAAAACACACATTATCAACATGTCAAAACATACATTAATTTATGGCTATTTACTTTAAGTTCTGAAGCAACATTTTTCTTTGTCTATTGCTATATTTTGATTGACGGGAATATTTTTTGTCAGTTTGTGTATATGGTAAAATTGATGTTTTATTTAGATAGTTACCTGTAAAAATTGAATTATTCCAAGCCTAACCGTAGCATCTGACTGGTGGTAGACTGCAGATTGATTCCGTGCCTTTGCACTTGAATGAGTGTCAGAATGAAGTTTAGCACTAATTAACGTTGGCAAGCCAGGTAACATTTACATGAAGTTCCTTGCTTAGCCATAGATGTGCTTCATTTGATGTCTGATCAAGCATGGGATCAAGTGCTAGAACACTTAAAGTAAAGACTATCTGGAGCTTATTTTGGCAAAAAAGCTCTTGTGATGGGGATCAAATGGCCAGTTTGAAATCTGACACCTTCAATCCAGATAGCCATTGAGAGACTGACAGTTATGAACATGAGTGACCATACTGGGTCAAAGGTCCATCTAGCCTAGAATCCTGTCTTCCGACAGTGGACAGTGCCAGATGCTTTAAATGCAATGAACATAACATGGCAGTTATTGAGAGATCCATCAACTGGCAGTTAGAGGTTCAGGGAAACCCAGAGCATGGGGTTGCATCCCTGACTATCTTGGCTGATAGCCATAAATGGACCTCTCCTCCATGAATTTACCTAGTTCCTTTTTGAACTCAGTTATGCTTTTGGCCTTCACAACATCCCCTGGCAACTAGTTCCATAGGTTTGCTGCATGTTGTGAAGAAGTACTTATGTTCTTGTCTTTAACCTGCTGCCTGTTAATTTCATTTGGTGACCCCTGGTTCTTGTGTTTGGGAAGGGATAAATAATACTTCCTTATTACTTTCTCCGCACCATTCATGATTTTATAGACTTCTATCATATCTCTTTTCTAAGCTGAACAGTCCTAGTTTTTTTACATCTCTCCTCACATGGAAGCTGTTCCATACCGATGATAGTTTTTGTTGCCCTTTTCTGTATTCAAGATGTGGGCGTACCATGGATTTATATAGTGGTATTATGATTTCTGTTTTATCTATCCCTTTCCTAGTAGTTCTTACCATTGTTAGCTTTTTTGACTGCCGCTGCACATTTGTTTTCTGAAAACATCCATGATGACTCCAAAAATCTTTCTTCAGTAGTAACAGCTAATTTAGACTTTATCATTTTGTGTGTATAGTTGAGATTGTTATCCACTTAATATTAAATTAAGTGTGCCATTTTGTTGGCCAGTCACCCTATTTTGTGAGAGCCTGTTGTAACTCTTTGCAGTTAGCTTTGAACTCTCTTAATAACTTTGTATCATCTGCAAACTTTGCCACCTCACTGTTACCCCCTTTTCCAGATCAATTATGGATATGTTGTCTTCTGTTCTTGATAGTCATAAAATGCTAAATCAACACAATTGAATTTTGATTAGTGTTCCCTTGTCAATTTGACTAATGACATATGGTAAATAATTAGAAGTTCAGGGGTAATAGAATTAGGTCCTGAGAGAGAACGCATTTTTACTGGGTACAATACATCACATATTCGCTCATTAACATGCTTTCCCTGGGCTGCTTCTTTCTGAAGATACATGAAATGTTATCACTTCCCTCCATTGTGTTGGGAGGAATGTGCACTGAGACAGATAAAGAATAGGAGCTTCATCTGACGAACGTGGTGGGGTAGCAAAAAAACTCCCACAGTTATTACCTAGCCTTTTCATATTCAAAACATAATTGCTCAATCAGTTGGTAGTCCTCTTTATATACTCATTGTCTTAGGAATCAGGCTAGATGAGGATCTGTAACTAGTGCAACAGTGTCTTAAGCCTTATGGATTTTTTTTGCCAAACCTTTTTGGCAGGAATATATAATAGTAACCTTGTATCTCTTTCCCAAGGGATGAGGATGCTCCTGCAAAGATTTCAGATGATGATGCTGTGAAGCCAGAAGGTTGGCTGGATGATGAACCAGAATATGTAGCTGATCCTGATGCAGAGAAACCAGAGGACTGGTATGCAGTCACTAGACTTTCATTTGTCTAGCTTGTATGAAAGCAGTAATTGCTGTGCGTCAGTTTATCAGATACTCATTTTGTGACCCAAAGGCACTGACTGGGTTTCAGGAGTATAATGCGGCACTTGAGCTACCACAGACCAGACATAAACTGTTAGGGGAAGGTGTTGCTGTGATGGACTTCCCTGGGGTGCATCCTGGAACAGGGGTACCGCTGAGCCCTCTGTCTCATCATCCTGGGCTCCCTTGCTCACTGTGATGCTGTGACAAGCTGCAGACTCCTCCAGATCCTGCTCTTACACAAACCTTCATAAGCAGGGACACCCCCAGCTGCAGTTACATGAATGCTTTTCCTAGCCACTAATGAGCTAACAATAGAGGCTCCAGCCAATCCCCAGAGCTGTACTATCTTGCTCTGGTCAAAAGCCTGACCAGTGTAAGTTTATTTCCCAGTCCACCCCCGCCATTAATGTGGAGAGGACAATGCACCAGCCCCTGCTCTTGAGCAGATTTCCCTTTTTGCACTTCAAACACACTGTTTTAGATAAAAATATAAAACAGATTTATTAACTACAGAAAGATTAGTAATAGCATACAGATCAAAGTTAGTTACTTAAAAAATGAACAAAATTGCAATCTAAATTCTATACCCTAGACAGGATTTGAATCAAGTAGTATCTCACTCTGATAGTACAAGCAGTTTACAGATCTTTCATACATAGGCTGGGATTCATTCTTTCCTGCCTGGGACCACCTTCCCCAGTTCAGTCTTTGTTCCTAAGGTGTTTCCAGGTGTTGAGTTGTAGGGGGAGTGAGGCCCAGTGGTGATGTCACTGCCCCCTTTTATAGTGTCTTCCATGTGGAGGGAACTTTTGTTCGAACTTCCAAGCAAATCCCCCTGCAGTTTGTGGAAAAGTACAGGCACAAGATGGAGTCCAGAATCACATGATTTAGTCACATGCCCTTACATGCTTCGATGAGTCATAGCAGCCATTAATCATATACTGGCTGAAGCATCCACAGGAAAGCCCATCAAGTGAGGATAAGCTTTTCCCATGGCCCATTGTGTTCATAGATGGGTCACAGTAGCAGCCGTGTTAGTCTGTGTCCGCAAAAAGAACAGGAGTACTTGTGGCACCTTAGAGACTAACAAATTTATTAGAGCATAAGCTTTCGTGGGCTACTGCCCACTTCTTCGGATGCATTATTCTTCGGGTGCATATAATGCATCCGAAGAAGTGGGCAGTAGCCCACGAAAGCTTATGCTCTAATAAATTTGTTAGTCTCTAAGGTGCCACAAGTACTCCTGTTCTTTTTATAGATGGGTCAGTATCTTGAATAGTCCACTCCCAATGTGCTGGCTAGACTGAATGTAAACTAACTTGTGGGAGTTACCCAGGAGCAAGCACATTTGAAATACAGATGCAGAGTCAATATTCATAACTCCAGATACAAAAATGATACATGCATACAAATAGGATAATCATATTCTGTAAACCATAACTTTTCCATTGACACCTCACGTGACATATTTTGTACAAGATATATGATGATTATATCACTATGGTGAATCCTTCTGTGGTCTCTTTGGGGCAGCATCATCTTTTGGTTCTGGCACAGTGGTATCCTGGTCCATGACTGAGGCTCTTAGGTGTGGTTTCCATCCATAGAACTCTTTACTTGTTTACTTTGGGGATGGGGATGATACTTTACAATGTAGAAGTGGTAAGGAGCGCCGCTCCCCCCTTTGTTCTAGGTCTTAAAAACAAAACAACAACAAAAAACCACTTCCCCCTAATGAGTTTGCTTTTCCAGGGATGAGGATATGGACGGAGAGTGGGAGGCACCTCAGATTGCAAATCCCAAATGTGAGTCAGCCCCTGGCTGTGGTACCTGGCAACGACCTATGATTGACAATCCCAACTACAAAGGCAAATGGAAGCCTCCTATGATTGATAACCCCAACTACCAGGTAGGTCTTATGCTTCTAGGTAACTTGCTGGCCAGAATCAGAACACTGCTCCCTCTTAGGGTATACCAGTTTACTAAGCAATACAGAAAGACAAGAGACTTCTCATAGTCTCTGTAAAGTGGTGGCATAACCAGGAATGCAAATCACATAACCTCAATCCTTGTGCACTCTAAGGGGACAGGTTCAACTTTTTATTCCCCTTTATAAACAAATAAATGTCACAACTTACCCACGAAAGCGAAAAAAATGAAGCTCAAAGCTGCTGCAGCAGGGGAGTGTTTAAATGGGGATGGAGTGGGGGAGAAGCTCTTCTAAATATTTTTCCCAGGAAGATTTGTAGTTGGTTTGTAAACCTCTTTACATAATAAAGATTTACTTAAACTAACTGACTATTCATTGTAATCAGGAATGCAACTTTTTTGTTACAGGTGTGGGGAAACACACTTTTTTTCCCCCTCCCAAGTTTTCGGACCCAAATAGAAAAACAAACTTTGTGTGGTGCATGATGCTGAGTTTTCTTTGCCTTCTCCAGGGAATCTGGAAGCCCAGGAAGATTCCAAACCCAGATTTCTTTGAAGATCTAGAACCTTTCAAAATGACTCCCTTCACTGCTGTGGGCCTTGAACTATGGTCAATGACCTCTGACATCTTCTTTGACAACTTTATTATCTGTACAGACCGAGTTGTGGCAGAAGATTGGGCCAATGATGGTTGGGGTCTAAAAAAGGCAGCTGATGGCGCTGCTGAGGTGAGGAGCAAAAGTTTATTTTTGTATACTTCTAACAATAAAAAATGGTATCTGTTTCTTGTCTAGAAGAGCTTCAAGCTCCTCTAGCTTTCACTCTTACAAAAAACTATGCTGCTAGTCCTTGTTTGAAGAACTTTTTTTTTTTCTTCTTCAAACATGATCTGATACAAGCTTTCAAATTGAAGGATATAATCTTCTCTACCAAAACCAGGCTACATAAGTATCTCTTATGGATTTTTCCTGTTCAAATGTAATGTATTTAAGTAACTTTTTTTAAAAAATAGTTTTTGGGGGGGGGGCGTGGCGGCCTTCATCGAACACCGGTTACCCTTTTTTTTTTTTTTTCTTTCCCCTGTCTTTTTACTATTGGGAGCATAACTTTTTAATCTTGGCCATGACAAATGGCCATCCTCATAGCCTACTGTTGCATGTTTATAATCTTTATTTTAGATTGTGCGAATATTGTTCCACATACTTTTCTGACTTCAGAAGACTAAAATCATTCATAGAAGACTAAGCTTGGGGCAGGGACCATCTGTTTGAACAGTGCCAAGCACAGTGTTGTTCTGGTTCATGATTCAGGGCTCCTAGGTGCTACAATAAAGCAAATAATTAGCTTTTGCAATACAGACTAATTCTATATTTTTTATGAGGCTGTCCCTACTAAGTATGACTGGAGACAGTTACCAGTCCCCACGGGTAGCCATAAAACTTGCTGCGTACAGGAGTAAGAGAGCTAAATACACAAGCCTTCAGGATTCAATTTATCTTCTAGCCTGGTGTTGTGGGCCAGATGATGGCAGCTGCTGAAGAGCGTCCCTGGCTGTGGGTAGTGTACATCCTAACTGTGGCTCTACCTGTGTTCCTTGTTGTCCTCTTCTGCTGTTCTGGAAAGGTATGAATTTCCTTCTGAAATATCTAGAAATAGGTCAAAATGGGGGTTGTGCAAGAACCTGAAAATGGGCAGTTGTTTATTGTGGGACTCTTCTGACAAATTCTAGAAACAGCCAAGCGCTGCAGAGTACAAAAAGACTGATGCTCCTCAACCTGATGTGAATGAGGAGAAAGAGGAGGGAAAAGACAAGGCAGATGAAGAGGAGGAAGAGGAGGAGGAAGCGGAATCAAATGAAGACAAGCAGGGTAAGCATAATGGAGGCTTCTTGAAATGGGGTAGGAACCTGGAATTGACTTACTCTCTCATGTAGAAAATGAGGGCAGTAGTATTGGTAGACCTAGACTGAAGTCAGTGGAGAACTTAAGGTGAATCATGTCTCCATAGACAACAGAACATAAATTCATTTAATTCTTGATGTTTGATTGGTTAGAAGAGAAGCAAAAGAGTGATGCTGATGTTGGAAGTGCTAGTCAAGAGGAGGAGGAAGATGAGGAGGAAGAGGAAGAAGATGGAAAACCCACATCAGAGGTAAAAACAAAATTTTGGTGCTCTCTGAGTAGAAGTGGTGATCATGTAGGTGGTCCACTAGTGATATTTAATGATTACATAGCTTAAAAAAAGTGAGGCAACTTTTAAAACACATGATCCAACTCCACTGGCATGAAAAAAATATAGTTGAGCTTAGTCCATGGTGGTTTAAAAAATTCTGATGGATACTCTACAGTTTGAGGCAATGCTAATATAAGAACTTGAGACTAAAGATATGAAAACAGAGGAAAGGGGATAACCCGTGTCCTGGTCTATACTAGTTCCCATAGTGAAATGCTTTCTAATGGGCTATGATGCCTGAAACACTGGAGAAGCCATAAGAGGGGACACTTGCCTAGAGTCACTGCACTACTACAATGATGGGCCGGATATGAGAACATAGGTAAACTTGTAAAGCTCTTATACTTACATATATCAGTTTCCCAGACGGGAGGGGCATGCCCCCCACAAGAGCAGCACTATGAGGTTATTGGGGGAGCAAGGACCTGATGGGGCTGCGATAAAGGGGAGGGGGCTTTGTCTGACAGGTTAAGCAGTTAATTCTTTGTGTGGGTGACCTCACTGCAGGGGCCAGGCTCCCTGCCCCTCTCACTCATCCACTGCCACAGCTACCCAACTGACAGTTGCCCTCCTCTGCTGGGAAGGCCATGGGTACTCCGCAAGCGGAGAGCCAGAGGGTGCACCCAAGGAGTACTGACACAATCTGTACCTCTCCTAACCCTTCAGCCTGGGAACATCAACTTCTTCTGCCAGATAGAGCCTGCACAGGGGAACTGAAGGACCAGGTTCAGGAGGTGGGCTCTATTGGGCAGGGGGTCCCAATACTCATGGGGTGCAGTTTTCTGAGGTGTTCATGATTTGGCTGGTACAAAATCCAGTAATCTGTAGTAGTGGCACTGGGATGGACAAGATGATCCAATATTGGTCCTTAAATCTTATATAAACTTGCAATTTTGAACAGTACCAGAATCACTAGTGCAGTGGTTCTCAAACTTTTGTACTGGTGACTCCTTTCACATAGCAAGCCTCTGAATGCGACCCCCCGCCCCTTATAAATTAAAAACACTTTTTTATACATTAACACCATTGTAAATGCTGGAGGCGAAGCGGGGTTTGGGGTGGAGGCTGGCAGCTTGCAACCCCCCATGTAATAACCTCGTGACCCCCTCAGGGGTCCCAACCCCCAGTTTGAGTACCCCTGGACTAGCGTGTGTATGTGGAATGAAATCCTCCAATTTATACAGAGCAGCAGCAAAGCACTACCATACCAATATGTTTCATTCCTGTTTTGGGAGAGACCTTTTCTAGAGGTGAAAGAATAGTTGAGCCTTCCTATACAGTGTGTTTGGGTGGCTTTTTCATATTGGCCTGACTGCTGCCATATAGTAGATGTGGTGTATACTGAATCTATGGTAAGACTCCCACTGAAGTCAGTGGAAGTAGTGAACTTCATTGAACACTCTGGAAAATCTTGCCCTCAACCATCTTGCTGCTCTACTCAGGCAACCAGCAAGGATTCCTACTGCTGCAGTGGATTTTTTAAGTACCGTATATACTCGTTCATAAGCCAAATATTTTTGGTAAAAAGGTGACGCATCAAAGAGGGGGGTCGGCTTCTAAACGGGTCTACACCAAAATTTGATGATTTTAAACTCTATGGAATCATTGAATTGAATATCTAATACATTGTCGTTTTACCTGGCGTGTTCGCAGGCATGGAGCCCCTCAGTTCCCAATGGCCGCGGTTTGCTGTTCCCAGCCAATGGGAGCTGCGGGAAGTGGTGTGCCGACCTGCCAGCGGCTTACCCTAACGGGCCAGGAGCCAAAGTTTGCCAACCCCTGAAATATAGGGTCGGCTTATGAAAGGGTCATATAGTTTTTGCTTTTTTACCTAACCTTCGTGGGGGGGGGGGTCGGTTTATAACCGAACAGGCTAATGAACGAGTATATACGGTAGTTGTATTTAATATCTGACTAAAAGCTACATTGGTACCCAAATATCTCCTCTGTAGAGTAGTATAACTTATCCTTTAATATTGCAAAGAGGTGGGCTGGAATAATGGCAGCAGCCTGCAGAAATTAGAAGTCTGCTAGTAAGTAGTTGCCCTGTAGAGAGAACAAGAAATTGTGGTTGGCCCAATCACAGTAAAAGACAAGTGTCTGTTCGAGCATAAAACCAGTAAGCCAAGAAATGAGGACACACACTTTCTGCTGTAGTTGTAGGGAATTTGGAATGCGTGCATTCATGGTAGCAAAGCATTTTCCTCTTAGAATGCATCACAGTATAAGAACCAAATTTTAAAGTGAACTTTCATTGTGAAAACAAAAGAAGATCACAGTTCATCTAAACTTCAGAGTAAATACTGTGCATCAGCCCTGAAAAGTGGGTTAGCAGTTACAGGGGAAAAAACGAAGTGGAAGCTTTGCTAATTGTTGTTTTTGTGAAAAGTTCATTCTATTTCCAATGTAGTATTGCAGTAGTTTACAACTGTTAATTTGTAGATTAGCTTTAGAGTATTTCCTAACCTTAATAGCAAATTCAGAAGAAAAGACTAGACTTTTTTTTTAAACCACACTTTCACTTTCTTTCAATACTGCAGGAGGAAGAAAGCATGAATAGATTGAAAAAATCATAAGAACTTCATCTATGATTATATTTTCCCCCAACATGGTTCTGGGAGAGGACCTTGGATACCTTATGTTGAAACTCAGACAAACCTCAAGACTTCACCATCCGCAGGTTCCAGTCACACTACCCAATGTAACTGAGTGTCTAGCAGTAAAATATTTGCAATCATCTGTTTAAAAAGAACACCATTCCTGTAGCAAGATGCATTTAATGTAATGGGCTGTGGATTTTGGAATGTAACAAAACTAACCTTTTATTTTTGTTTTTAAATAGATTGGTAGAACTTTGCCAGTCTCTCAACCTTAGCTTAATTTAATGTATTAATCGATCAATGAAAAATAACAAATCTAGAAAAATACTAGTTGATGAAATGCAGTTTTTATAACTTTATTTTTTTATAAACATGGAAATTCCTGGCAATGCCTGTATATCCCTTAAATTTGGTCATCATGTTAGCTGTCAGTGGCTACATTGACTTTTTTTTTTTTTTTAAACCCTCTCAAATAAGGAAATTAGGGGTGGGAAGGAAGTTAAAGTCTATGTAAAGAAACTATAGAACTAAGATGTATGAATATTCCCAAGAAAGCCCTCTCATGTACTTGTTGAGGGAGAAGCATAGGTAGGCAATGAAATAAGCGTGTTGCCCGTGGCAGTTGCCCAGTTAAGTGTTCACAATTGGCTTAAGATAGTGGGGGGTAGGTTTTACTATGGTACTTAGTCTTGCAAGACTCATGGAGGCCGGATGTCTGATTTCTTTAGTTCTTGAGCTCTTCACAATAGGGCAGTGGCTGTCTGGGTTTAAAAAAAAAAAATTCTCTTCCTCTGGCCCTAGCTTTCTCTGCTACTGTGCAGCTTCTTCAGAGTGTAGGTTGGCCTCCATTGCTGAAAACTACTTTATGCTTGGCTCACTATCAAACTTTTATAGGTGGGTTGTTTTTTGGTGGGGCAAAAGGGTGTTTTTGTTTTTTAAGCTACACCTACTTCTTTCCAGGGTCCAAACACTGGATACGACAGTGTCCCTAATCTCCTTATTGTTGCCCTGTATGTAAACTCCTGCACAGAGACAGGGAGGTGGGAAAAGAATAGACAAGTGGACCTAAAGACTCATATCAGAAGCAAAGATGTCAGTATTTGTAGATGGGGAAGGAGCATGTGTAATAACCTACCTGGTATGTGTAACCATTTGAGTCTTTCATCTGCTTTTCATGTAACAGTTGCATTCTAAATTATATTGTGACTATAGGGGGTTCCAAATCCAGTTAAATAAATTTTTTTTTAAAAGTCACGTCTAGTATATTATACTGTTGTTCTAAAGTTTTTTGTTTCTTTGTGGAATGCAAATGACCACCACCAGAGCATACCTCTAAGAGGGTAAACTCTGATGCTTTCATTAGTGTACCAAAATGTATTAGGGAGGGAAGGTTAATGTCTACATAGACTAGCTTTTTGCCCTTTGTTCAGAATAACTTTAAATGTCCTAAATTGCTCTCCTTGCACTGAATAGAAACACTCCCATGTTCCATTCGTATTTTTGTTTAGGGTAGGGTAGAAGGTGAAGAACAATTCTAGAAAAAAACATTACCCCAGTTTTTTAAAACCATCTTACCAATATCTAACATTTAAAAACAGAAACTCTGGCTGCCTGTCCTTAACCAAGAGAGTTGTTGGTGTGTTGTGGGGTTTTTTTTGTTTTGTTTTTGTTTTTTTTAATACCACTGACCGTAAATGCATAGCAGGATTGCTTGACTGCTCTGTAGTGTGCAAATAGAACATGGTAAGTTTAAACTTCTGTTTAGAACTACTTACTTCTAGAAATCAGACATCTCTTCAAACAGTTTTTTTAAACACTGCTTCTTACCCTCTCCAAAATAGCTTCTGCCTTGCTGTTGGAAGCTGTCATGTTTTATTGGCACTGCTTTTAATTTAATTCTTCTTGGCTCTCAAGATAGCTTTTATAGAGGAGCGAACTATTCATGACTTAGTCCCTCCCAGATAAAAATAGGTGTAGATAAGTTTGCCAATTCATAGATGGCCTCTAGTGTTCAGCTACCATCTCGGGCACAATTTACAAACCTATTTTAATGCAATTCAGTTAATGCTGTTTTTATCTTCATGTACAAACTGCCTTAATTTCCAGTATCTTTCTCCTACACACACGCACTCTCTTCCAAAATACTACTAGAGGTGAAATTCTGAAATGCTTTTCAGACATCAGCTATTAAATGGTATTACATTAAAGCTGAATGTACAAGTCTTTCTGCTTCTACTGGACCTCTTTGAAAGGGTCTCCTGTTTGCATGTGATCGCTTTCTTTGGTACCATAGTGTAAATTTTTTGAATAGTCACTACATTAAATGGTGAATCTCCACAATGGATAGAAAAACTTCAGTTCTTAAGATCTTTCTCATGATATCTAACTTTGCCTCCAGTGTTAAACTGCAAGCCTCTTTTGAATAGATAAAAGGATAAGATGCCAGTTTTGTTAAAAGGGTTGTCATTGTTAGCTTTCCAGGTAAAAGGAGAATATATTTATTAAGGCTAACAGTATTTTCTCAATACCTGAAGCTTCAGTTGCCTCCCACCTATGACTTGAACAGTTAGTGACTCTTAAAAGTACTTGGAAAGAAGTCTGCATTTTAGTAAGTGGAAGGCAGTTTGACTGCACATAAGTGCAGTGGTAAATGGATCTCTTGTAAAGGGTGGTCTTTGGACTTTATATAGCAAAACCTGAATTATCTCACCTTTTTAATGAAGAAATGTTAGATAACTGGTTCTACAGAGCCAAAAGATTCTACCATAGATTCGAGTGTCAGACTGTTCACTTGGCATTTTTAATATCTGAAATAGTAAAGAGTATTTTGGAAATACTGAAAAATAGTTGTCTTGGAATTGTGATCAGTGAAAGGAGGTAAAGGAAATATAGCAAACTTACTGATATTTTCTTAGTAAGACGTAAGTGGGATGTAAACTGGTCTTTCAGAGTGTTTTGGTTATCCAGTGAATTAACAGAACTTGAGAATGTGGATTTTAAAATGTATTTGACAGTGTCTAAGATTTGGATCTCTGGGATGGAGAGGGTATTCTTACAAATATTCATTACTGGTAAACAAGTTTTATCTCCTCTACATATGGCTCCACTCAACCTGTGGCAGCACACATGGTGCTAGTGACCAGTTTCTCTGCACCCCTCTGCCATCCCCATATGCACTTATCTCTAAATGCCAGTATTGCCTCCATAAATGGTTTCAAAAGCAAAATCCTCAAGTGTTGCTAAATGAGAACTGTGACTTCTCTCACAGAAAAGTCTTGTCTGTTTGTTTGAAAAAGGATAATTGTAGATGCAGTATGCATATATAAATATATTGGATAAGTTATAAATGTAAGTTTACTCTGATTAATAAAGAAACTTAAATCTATACAGCTTTCTTTGTCTAATTGGCTAAAAAATAGCTAAAGGCTTTCATCTCTGGGATTTCAGTATCAAGGTAAAGGGGAGCTGCAGCCTTGCTTAATGGCTACTCTAACAACTAAGCAAAGGGCCACAGTGCCTTCAGCAGGTTCTACAGAACACCTGGAGAAAGGGGTAGCTATTGGAGCTGAATCCCAGATGGGATTTATTATAGGCCCACAATCTGATTAGAAAAAGTAGTAAATGTAGTGTCATAATGAAGCCAGTAGTTATGATGAGCCCAAAAGCCTTGGATTTGTTTAACCATTTTTAGCACTGGATCATGAAAGTAACTAGTCTTGTCTTTTTATGAATAAAACACATTTTATTTATACTCTAACTGCAGGGCATAGGCAGCCCATGATATCTGCCAGCTCTGTTTTAAAGGTTGCCTTCATTGCTAAAAGCTGTGAATCCTAAACATTTTAAATGAGGTCTGTAAATTGATCTTTTTAAGATGGTAAAAGTAAAATCTTGGTGTGTAAATTGTTAGTTTAAAGCTAGCTAATAAACTGAATGCAAGGATTTGGTATCTCTGGAAATCTGTTAAAAATACAGTTGTGCCCCTTGTGTTGTGCATTTAAGATGTTCCAACCTTATTGCCTAACTCCACTAGTTGACTGATTTCTGTTTTTTTAATAGCCAGAGTCTGCAGTCTCATTCCATTTTAATAAGCAGTGGGGTTTGGACTGCTCCAGGCCTTGGACTTGGAGAGTGGTAGAACCTCATCTTTCCACCTTGTTGCACATGCAGTTAACCTGCTGTACTAGTATATTTCTCCTACACAAACTAACAACTTGCTTACAACTGAGTTCACTTTTAATGCAGCAGTATTATTTCATATGTATGGTTCTTCAAGTGATAGTCCCTGTTGTATTCCACTGAGGGTTTACATATGTACACCATGTGTCCGGAGCCAGAGAATTTAAAAGTAGTAGTGTCCATTGGTCTGTGCATGTGCTCTGAACTCCCCTCATGGTTCAGTCCGAAGTCATAAGGGCCAGAGTGGACCGACTGCATCTCCTGTTCCTTCTCACTGCCACATGGTCTTGGTCAGAATGAGTGGTGTCCATTTGCTTGTAACACACTTTCTTAAACTTGTATATAGTTTTTTACAGATTTTTACTGTTTTGATTTTTAGGTAGTTTCTAGTAGCTTTAGAGTAGAATTGTTTGGGCGCCTTTCTTTTGTCTCTGTACCCATACGCAGGTGTACTGGACTCTGCCGAAGACCCCTTGGTCTTAAAATCTCTGCCTCCTGCCCACGTTCCTTCTCAGTCAGCGACGAATACCAACGCTGCCTCTACTGCTTGGGAGAGGGCCATGTTGCATCTAGGTGCAAGCTGTACCTGAAGGTTGACTCTCCACCTAAAGTCGGAAGTTGCCATGAGGCCTCGGAACCAGGCTGGGGAACCTCCCTGTACGTCCGCCTGAGGCAGTCGAGTGCCCCTGCTGCTACGGAATCAGTCTGGGACCAGCGGTACCACCACTATGGATCCTGTGCTGGGGCCTACTCAAGAGAAAAGAAGCACGGTCATAAGCATTCCTCCAAGACCAAGAAAGGAGACTCTCCTTCTCTTTCCTCCAGTCATGGTGAAAGAGCATGCGCCAAGCCTCATAAGCATGAGAAGAGGTCCCACAGGAGGACGGATCTGCTGGTACCAGGGATAGAACTGCTGACGCAGCCAGCATTAGCGCCCCATAAGATGACACCTTTCCATTGTGGGGAAGTCCACCACTTTGGCACCAGTACCAAGTATCGAGAATGCCCTTAACTCCTGGGAGATTGGGGAGGGCACCAGAACCCCAGGATGTGTTTGTGCTGGGAGACCTAACCTCTCCATGCCTGTCCAGACCCTCCACTTCTAGGAGATTGTACCTTCCCCTATAGACAGGCCACACGTGGCCTATTATTCACCTCCCACTTCAGCGATCCACATCCTTCCGACGGTGCCACCTACAAAACTTGTTTCAGAGTTCTCATCTTCAGATGAATCCGATAAGGGGCATGGTCCGTCCATCACATACTGCCATTAGGACTATTAGAGGAAGCCATCTACACTGTGGCACTATATCAGCTGCAGCTGCCTCAGAGCTGTTGGTTTCCCACGCCATGGGGGTCCTTCTCAACACCCTCTGGATCAGTCATACTGGCCCTATTGGGGACCTTGGTCAATACTCATTGCCACGCATTTGGCAAGGGATACTTCTCCAGTTTCCCTGTCCTGCGTGCCTTCCAGAAGACGCTCACAACTGGCGATAGAGAAATAGCTGCTCAGCCTGGTTCCGATGGTACCAAGAGAGCAAGAGAGGTTTCGGTCTTCTTCTCTGGATGTGGCACTTGCTTCGGTGTCCTCTTCACTCTCTGATGACTTCTGCCAGTTTCAGGATCTCCTAAGGAGGGTGGCTGGGGAGCTTTACATCCCACTGGAGGAGGTACAGGATACCCAACACCAGCTCCTGGACATCCTTTATTCATTGGCACTGAGTAAAATTGAGCTACTCATCAACGAAACTCTACTCGAGCCGCCCAGGACAGCTTGGCACACATCCGCCGTATGTACACCTACTCCAAGTGATTGTAGAAGAGGGTAAACTGGTGGTGAGGACTTCGCTGCATCCTCAGCTGATTGAAGTGGACACTTGTGTGGTCCATGGCCATGGGTATAGTTTGTGGCAGGAATTGTGGCTCCATACCTCTGATTTCCACAAGGAGGTACAAAATATCATCTAAGATCTCCCTTTCAACAAATCCCATCTTTTTAACCAAAAAATACTATTCCTTGCACACCCTCAAGGATTCCAGAGCTACAGTGCATACCCTGGGTATTTACATGC